TTTGAAATATACGTTAACATATCATCAGGAACGTTCTAAAGAATAAGTAAACAAAAAAGTTTATTCCAAACGTTCAGAATGAATAAAGAAATTCAACCAATGTAAAAGAGTTTGGTTGTCTTCGATTTTTCTCTCTTGCGTCCTCATTAGAGGAAAATTCCGTTGCGAGTGAGGCGATTTTACCATACACAAATGTAAGCGGTTTGATCGAACGTCAACATTTAAATTTTTGTTCACATTTCAAACGGCTTGTCAAACCTTCAAACACCTCCATATACAACAAAAATAGCTTTAAGAAAAAGGGATATTTCGCTTTCGATAATTTTTATTCCATCCCTAGATCTTCAACTTATTTTGAACTTGAAAAATCTCGATAATGAATGTAGAGAACACGCATTGTTCGATTATACGAATATTCATATTGCTTCTTCATTAGATCCAGAAAATTTTCGGAAACAAGTTTTTGAATTAAAAGAATCTTGAGGTTCATATAACTTTCCAAATAAAAAAAAATTATATCTGCATTACTAATATAGCCCTTTTCTAATGCTTCAGTAGAACGTATATTTAGTAGTTTAAAAAGTAATTTTTAAGCAAAAAACAAAACCGATTTTAATTCTCAAACACAAATTTATGATTATCGTTAATTTCTTCATGATACGATTATCGGATTTAAGGGGGTTAACCTCCCCCCCTCAAGTCAAAGAATATTATTTCACTAATATGGGTCTAGAAAAAAGGCTCTTTAGAAGAAAGTATGCGTAATAAAGTTTCAAAACACGAATTTTTAAAATAATATATTAAATTTTTCGCTTTATTTATAAAACATTTTGATAATTTTAAACACATTAAATTTTTCTTTTTACTTATAAATCAATGAAACGAAGAATTTTCAAATGAAAAATTTATATCTTTGTGAATATTCATAGATGCTAGACCGTTGAGCCTTTCTTGACATGTTGTATTTCTCAAGTAGGTTTTAATTCTTTTCAGGCATGAAAAGCTTCGTTCAGGTGTGGCTATTGAAACGGGCAAAAGTGCCAATATACGTAAGATCTTAAAAACATTCCCAAAAGACGATCTATTAGCTACATGTAATGCTTCGAGAGCATTTCGAAAATGTTCGTGTGAAACTCGTTTTTTCCACATCTTTACCTCTAGAAGAAAGTTTTGTTTCGAGCAGTCGATTACTTTTTCATAGAAAGCAAACAATTCTTCAGCTTCTTTTCGTTAAAATCATACTTTGGAAACAAAACATTTAAAATTGATTTATGGTTTAGGAACCGGCTTTTCAAATGAGCAATATATGTATCAAGGAAGGGAATGTAAAAAGCAATGCAATAGTATGCCTCGGCGTCTCCGGTTTTCACATTAAAGCGATTCTTTTGGCGACTGCTGTATCGCGGTACTTTGATTTCTGTACCTAGGTTGGTGCATACTTCTTCTACGTGTTCGAAACAGGGTGTCCAGATTGTTTAAAAGAATAGCGCAATTTCTGAAAAAAAAATCCCCAAAAATCGCAAATTTTTTTTTTAATAAAATTCATGAAATCGATTTAACAAATCTTTTATTTTAAAAATGAGATCTTGTTATAATATAGTATTTAAAACCAAAAACGAATATAATACCCTCAGAGGGTAATAATAAATTAGACAAATCACTTATATAATAGTGGTGTACAAACAATACTTGTTTCAACATATTTTGCAATAGAACTGCGCAATTATTAAATTTATTAGAACACATATTAATTGATTAAGCGCACAATCCGCCTTTAAGAGCTCGGCGCTAAAAATTGGATAAAAACCTATAATAAAGAGAGATCAGTTATTTCCACAATTTCTTCAAAGTCACCTATAGGGTCTGAATCATTTACATTTCTGTTGTTGTCATATATTGAGCTAATCAACTTTGCTAATATACTGTTTGATATTGGAAACATTTTGCAGCAGAAACTAACACACTATTCGAACTATTGAATTAAGGCTTTATTCGAACTATTGAATTAAGGCTTTCCAACCTCATCCAATTTCGAATCTTAGTTTTTTTTTTGAATTCATTACGGAAGAAATGCTCTCAACAAAGCATGTAAGTGCGGCAAGGATAATAATATGAATTTATTTATATTTCCAAACGTTTTATTTCTTCAGAGTCGGATGGAATGGTTCTGAAAAATGTTATTCCGTGGCAAAGTTAAAATATTTAAATATTCAGTTTTCGCTGCTTTTCTTTCCTTCAAAGTCAAATAGTGAATTGGCAGGTCCCTGAAACTCGCCCTCTTGTGATTCACACACTTTTCTGGTGACAAAACCAAAGCTTTTTTAGAAGTATTTAATTGACTAGGTAATTGTTTCAAAAGTTCTTCGATTAGGGTGATTAAAAATTTTTGACAGTCTTTTAATATGCTTCTTACGTCAAGTTTATCATGCAGTTCATTAGCCTCTTCTGTAAAATTATCGTGGAAAACTAAGTTTTGTATATTTTTATAATTGGAAAAAATTTATTTGACGAAAAAAAATCGCCAAAAATCACCAGTGGCGATTTCCTAAATTTTTACGCACAAATATCAAAAAAAAATCGCCAAATTAGCGCGAAATCGCCAAATCTGGACACTCTGGTTCGAAAAGCAAATGAAAGTTTTTTTCTGCATCTTGTCGCATTTCTTCAAATTCCTTTAAAGCGTCGTCGGCTAAGCTCATTGCTTCTGCAAGATCTTCATCAAGTACTCGTAATTGCCGAATAGCAAAGCAACAACAATTTCTAAAAAAGCAAATGCTTGGCTGTTGTCGCTGTGCTAACAGTTTTTCAAGCCCTCATAGTTTCTATAGATATTCGCACGATACAGTTAATTTGTACGGTATTTGCCCCGTGACAAATAAAAAGTTGTTGACAATTGGAAGAAATACAACTTCGAAAGTCTTTTTAAAACGATTTTTCATTTTGCTACGTTAGAGCCGTTGCCGAGAAACTTATGGTGGTTTAAGGTAATTAGAATAAGGGTCAAAATTTCCCGCACTTTTATATGATTTTAAAATGTTGGCAAACTTCAAAAAAAAATCATGGCCGACAAATTGAGATAACGGTTCTACCATGCTATGTTTTTATCATGGTACACAATATTCATAACTGTAATAAGAAAATTTTGAGTAATTTGTTCGGATTTTGAGAATTTTTCATTTGTTTTTGATGAATTTGGTAATTTTTTGTGGCAACACTGCTGCAGACACGTAAACTCCTTCTCCCACCTATGTTCCACCACGTAGTCCATATTTTTTAGGATTGCAATTACCTCAGCCTGGGAGACCGAAGCATATTCCTCAACATAAAAGTGAAGCTTCTCCCCATTAGCATCGAAAAAGAACACAGATCATGACCCGGATTCAGTTTTGCAACCATCAGTGAAGATTCGACAGGGAACTCAACATTATAGAATCTTTCCAATAAAGGTAATGGTGGCGTACTATCCTGTAGCATTGAAAATACACAAGTGCTTAAATCTCTGCTGCGCCCCACTCAGTGTTATACCAACATCTGGTCCTTTTTAGTCTGCAAGTGGCATTTAAGGCTTTCCCACTGTTCAAACATCTTTGAACATGAGTACATACATATCTGCCAGGGTAATAAAATTTAACATAAAAAATACGTGCATATGTATGTACCTACTTAGACAATAACATATACTCATCCATATGAACATGTACTTAGAAAAGGATCGTTTTGTCTGCACATGCAATGCAAGAAACAGAACATACTTATTTACATACAGAAAATATTTACGTATATGTATACAGTCCACTACTCTGTCAAATGTATGATGAGCAAAGCAATCGAAATTCTCTGCGATCTTGTTGCCTGTGTACGAAGATTGCTGCTTATCATAACATAAATTTAAAATCACATAAATTGTAATACATACTGAAATAAGAGATCAATGCGTTTATCTCTTGCATACAAATATATATACACACATACCTATGCATGCATTAGAAAATGCATTAGATAATATGCTTTGCATGTATATAGCCGATGCACATGCAAGCAATAAAAATATAATTAGAAGACCAAGGCATTGGTTGGTAATCTTATGTAAATATACATACATACATGCACATGTACATATACACACACATACATATATAATTAGTTAAGGAAGTAGAGTTAGAAAATTGTATATAAAAGAAAAATGTTGAATAATCTAATCAGATTCGTAAAGACTCTCAATAACACGCTTCTTTTCTTTCTTTTATATTTTATGCTTTACTTCCCCCCACCAGAGGTAAGGGGTAAAGCATCTAACTATCTGTCTTCTTCTTTCTTTATTAAGGTTTTACTTCCCCCCACCAGCGGTAAGGGGTGAAATTATTAATATTGAAAGTACTAAACTCTTATTTTATTAAACTCTACTTCCCCCCCACCAGTGGTAAGGGGTAGAGAATTTAAAATAAGAGTATTTGTAGTTCGCGCATTGCTGAGCGTTACTTGTTACCCCCCACCCGAGGTAAGGAACAAGTGACTCAGCTCTGCTACGAACATTTGGTCCATACGAGCCTAAAAAAAAAATAAAAATTTAAGCTCAAGCCGCAAGGTAAGACGGGAACAGATTTTCCGCACTTAAAATAATAAAAAAAAAAGCCCTAATAATTTTATAGGCATACCAGATTTATAAGTCGTTAAAGCACGAGACTTTACACATAGGGCTGGTTTCTCCAACTCAACTTAACTTAGTCAAGCCAAATTTCTTGACTTAGTCAAGAATAAGCTGTGTAAAACGTAGGCTAACTTTTGACTTAAGTCCGAAAACTGGCTAAACTAAGTTAAGTTGAGTTGGAGAAACCAGCCCATAATCTATTTATTGTATCCAAAAGAACAAACAACGGCTGTGAGTCGAGGCACAGCAAGGTCAACAAGGCGACCAAACCAATTTCCTCCAACGGTTCTTTTGGAGAAGAAAAAACAATATTAAATTGATCAAATCCATTAAAAAAAAAAACACAATTAGAATGGCTACTAAGCAAAAACTGTTAGAAGAACAGAAGAGTTTCGAAGACCATTTCAAGTCGTGGCTGAGCAAACTTGAAGGCCGAAAAACACTAGCAACAGAAGACGCGAAGAAAAATATTCTCGAACTAAGAGAGAGATTCACATCTAACCATAACCAGTTACTTAAGTTAGGTGTGGAAAATGAGCTGTATTTAACGTCAAATTATTATGACGGCTGGATGCATACAATTGCTGAAAGCCTAGAAAAATACAATGCAGAATGGGAACAAGTTGCAGAAGCTTGTAATTTAAAGAAGAAAAGTGATGCAATGACACAAAATAATCATGGTGTAAAACAAGAAATTGAAGATCAAATAAATCGATTTGAGAAATATGCTTCAAGGACTAGAGATGAAATTAGAAAGGATGTCTCAGAAATATTTCTGCAAACTCTAGAAAAAGAGTATAAATTACTTGAGGAAAAATATGAAGAATATTCATCCACAAATAACGATATGCGGCACATAATGGATGATTGTGAAAGCGAAATGCACGACATAAGAATGTCAGTTTCAGAGCTAAAGAACAGAATAAAATCACAAAGATCAGGTCCTACGCCTAACTTAAAGGTAGAGGATATCAAAATTTCGCCATTTTATGGAGACCTGTCAGAATGGCCAACATTCAAAGACATATTTAATAGTCTTATACACGAAAGCTCACACTACTCTAAAGTCGAAAAGATGTATCGACTAAAATCATACCTTAAAGGTGAAGCTGGACGTCTGATACAACATCTGACGGTGACCAACGAAAATTATTTGGCAGCCTGGGAAATTTTGAACAACAGATACGAAAATCGTAGATTGCTGTTCACATCCCAGTTTGACAAAATTTTAGATTTGCAAACAATTAATAGTGAATCAGCAGCTAGTCTAAAAGGCTGTCTAGATAAAGCGAGAGAATGCATTTATGCAATAAAAGGTTTGGGCATCAACCTCACCGACGCTGAACCATTTTTAGCTAGAATATTAGTGAGAAAGCTTGATAAAGAAGGACTACGCTTATATGAGCAAAGCGTAAAAAAGACAAGAGAAATTCAAACTCTTGAAGATGTCTTCAGCTTCTTAGAACAGCAATATCTTGCCTTAGAAGCCGTTTCCAGTAAAAGTTCAAGTGGAAATAGATTTCAAAAAAGGGAGAAAAGTTTTACAAGTAACTATGTCACTGACACGAAACACAATGAACAAATAACCTGTGTGTATTGTAAAATACCAGGGCATAAAATCACCTACTGCAAAAAGTTCAAAACTTTAACAACAGCGCAAAAGCGAGAGTTTGTAACAAAAACTAAACTGTGCTTCGTTTGCATGGAGCACTACTATGGCTCAAAGTGCCATAATCCTGAAAAGAGGTGCATAAAATGTGGGTTTAAACATCACTTTCTGCTACATGAAGACTATAAACCGAAAGAGGTCGGAAAAGTGACCACAATGGTATCTAGGGAAAACTCACCAGCAGTGCTTTTAGCCACAGCACAAATAAGAATCAAATCAGCTAATGGCGAGCATATTTTACTTCGAGCTCTTGTCGATCAAGGGTCACAAAAAACCACGATTACCGAAGAGGCTAGCCAGTTACTAAATTTACCTCGAATGAAATCGAAAACCGAAATATACGGTCTTGGCGGTAGCAAAGTTGGCGTTTCTAAGAATAAAATAAAAATACAGATAGAGCCAAGATTTAGCAGCGACTACTTAGTGACAGCAGAAGCCTTAATTCTGCCGGCGCTGACAAGTGTTCAACCAGAAAAGACATTTCAGCAAGATATAGAAGAATGGAAGAATTATGTCTTGGCAGACCCTTTGTACAACAAGTCAGACAGAATTGACGTTGTAATAGGCAGCGACATATTCGGTGACATCTTGGAAGAAGGCGTTATCAAAAAGTGTGGCATCCTAGGGCAATCAACTAAATTAGGTTGGATACTTTCCGGAGCTGTCACAGCAACCGCTGACAATAACAAAATTGTGTCAGCAATGACCAGTATAGAGAAATTTTGGGAACTGGAAGAAGTCCCAACTGAAACCGAGTCATCCAACGAAGACGAGTTGTGTCTAAAAATTTATAAACACACTGCCAAGCTAGACGAAAAGGGAAGGATTACTGTGAAGATACCTTTCAAAGAAGACTGCGCTTTGGGAGAATCCAGGAAGCAAGCTGTGGCACGTTTTCTTGCACTGGAAAAAAGGATGGCTCAAGATGTCACCTTGAAAAATGAATACGCCAAATTCATCGACGAATACCAAAAAACTGGGACATATGGTAAGAATATTTGATGAAAGAGACTGTAAATATTATCTTCCCCACCAAGCTGTTATTCGCGAAAGCAGTACCACTACGAAACTGAGGGTGGTATTCGACGCATCAGCCAAAACATCGAACGGGAGAAGCCTTAACGATGTAATGTACACGGGACCTAAATTACAAAAAGACATTTTTGACATAATTTTAAAATGGAGATTCTGGAAATTTGTGGTGACAGCAGACGTTGAAAAAATATCCGTCAAATTCGAATTTTTAAAGAAGATCAACTTTATCAAAACATACTGTGGAGAAATGACAGTAAAAAGCCATTAACAGTGTTCAGGTTAACTACTGTTACTTATGGAACAGCTTCAGCACCATTTTTGGCAGTACGCAGCTTAATAAAAATCGCTGAGGACTGCAATGAAGAAAGAGTGAAAAAAGTTATCGAAGAAGACTTTTACATGGATGACCTCATGACTGGAGCAGATAGTGTACAAGAGTGTAGTGAAATTAAACAAAAAGTTGAGCAACAATTAATGAAGTTTGGTTTTCATTTAAGAAAATGGCTCACGAATAATTCTTCGGTACTAGAAGATAGTATGCAACAGCGCAGTGAAGAAAATTATTTAATAAATAGTGATGAAATCGTGAAAACGTTAGGACTTAAATGGGATCCTAAAAAAGATGAATTCAAGTTCGAAATCAACCTGAAAGAGAGCAAGAAGATTACAAAACGACAAATATTATCAAACTTAGCCACTATATTCGATCCACTTGGGTGGCTATCTCCAATAACTATTGTGTTGAAAATATTTATTCAAAAGCTTTGGACACAGAAGCTTACTTGGGATGAAGAATTATCAGCCGAATTAAAAATAGAATGGTTTGAATTTACAAAAAATATAAGTGCACTGCGTAACATAAAAATCCCTAGATTGACTAAAACATCTCAAATAATGGATGTAGAGCTGCACGGTTTTGCAGATGCATCAGAAAAAGCATACGCAGCAGTAGTGTACATTAAATGTGATGGGCAAATAACCATTGTAGCAGCAAAAAGTAAAGTGAATCCGATGAAACATAGGAAAACTTTGCCTAAACTAGAACTTTGTGCAGCTCACCTATTATCAAAACTATTACATCGAATGTTAATCACGATTCAGCACAAAACGAAAATCTACACATGGAGCGATTCTACTATTACTTTAAGTTGGATAGAAACCAACAAAAGTAAAGACAAATTTATTCGAACTAGAGTCAGCGACATTAAGAATTTGATTCCAAGTGCAAAATGGAATCATGTAGTTTCTAAAGAAAATCCAGCAGACGTAGCATCGAGAGGAATACCTCCCTATAAATTACAAATACACAAATTGTGGTGGAATGGTCCAGACTGGTTGAAAGAATCAGAAGACAAGTGGCCCAAATCAATCAGCGAGAAGACAACATGCGCGGTAACTGCAGTGAGTAACATTAATGAACAGCACCCTCTAGAGTCTCTTACAGAAAAATACTCCAGTTTTTCAAAACTAATTAGAGTGTTCCATTCACAATATCTATCATCAGAAGAATTAAAAACGGCAGAAATAGAAATAATCAAAAGGCATCAACATAAAGAATTTGAAAATGAATTTCAAAAGCTGCTGAAAAAAGAAAATATAAAGCAATGCAGTAAGTTATCAAACTTGTATCCATTCATCGATGGCGAGGGTGTGTTACGAGTAGGCGGTAGGCTGAGGAACTCAAACAAATCATATGAGCAAAAACATCCAGCAATTATTAATAAATCGCACTTATCAGAGTTAATTGTTATGGATGCACATAGCAAAACATTGCATGGTGGCAGCCAATTAATGGAAGCAGCAATAAGAAGAAAGTACTGGGTAATAAATCTAAAAAAAGAAATTAAAAAATGCATTCGAAATTGCGTGAAATGCATTAGATATCGACAATAAACTGCTCACCAAATAATGGGAAACCTACCTGAGATGAGAGTTTCGCAGTCTTCACCTTTTACACATACAGGTGTTGACTACGCTGGGCCATTACTTATAAAGTGCTCCAAAAATAGAGGCATCAAAGCGTATAAAGGATACATTGCAATATTTGTGTGTATGGCAACTAAAGCTATACACTTAGAAGCAGTGTCAGATCTAACGACAGAAGCCTTCTTAGCAGCCTTGAGAAGATTTTTCGCTAGAAGAGGAAAAAGCTCACACCTATATTCCGACAATGGAACGAATTTCATCGGAGCAAATCGAAGTATAGATTCTCAATTAAAAACGCTCTCAAAAACAACTGTTCTGTAGCCCCGATATTAGCAAATGAAAAGATTGAATGGCATTTTATCCCGCCGGCAAGTCCTCACTTCGGAGGTATTTGGGAAGCAGGTGTAAAATCCGTAAAACACCACCTAAGAAGAGTGATTGGTGAAACCAAATTGACCTTCGAAGAAATGTCAACGTTGTTATGCCAGATAGAATCAGTACTTAATTCACGACCATCGTATACACAGGGTCTGAAATAGAAGACAACAATGTTCTTACGCCTGGGCATTTCCTTATTGGCAGACCGCTTTTGGATATTCCAGAAGTTGCGCGAGATGTGGAAAAGATCGGAGCTTTAGACCGTTGGAAAGTCATTTAGAAATTGAAGAAAGACTTTTGGAATAAATGGAAAGATGAGTATCTTGTAACACTGCAAAAGCGGAATAAATGGAAAGTCGACCATTTAAACATAAGAGAAGGCAAAATAGTAATAATAAAAAATGAAAACACACCCCCATCAAGATGGCCTTTGGGTAACGTAACACAAGTACACAAAGGTACAGATGATAAAGTTCGTGTAGCTACAATTAAAACAAGTGATGGAACTATTAAAAGATCAATACAAAAGTTGTGTCCATTACATTGTATTGAAGATGGCGAAAAGGGTACTCAAAATAAAAAGGTGAAATCTAACTATACTTTCACAAAATCTTGCCATAATAATTTAGCAAGACCTAAATGGTCAGTAGCTGAAACGTTGCTAGTATTTTTGGTACTTATTGTAAAACTACTTAATATAAAAGGAGAAGCAACAGCAAGTACAAATTTCATCACGCAAACGAGCCTTTCAAATAGTTCAGCCATATACTTGGACTCTTATGAAAGAGTAGATGTCGTAGCTTCTCGTTGGAACTTGGTAATATACTACAATCTCGAATCTTATTTCAAAGAAATTGAAAGCATGCCAATTTACTTAAAGCAAATAAAGGACCTATGTCCAAAAATTTTTTACTTTAGCGAACAATGTGAAATAATAGCAAAAAATCTGAATAGTAAATATGAACTACTCCAATCGAACAACCAGCTTCTTATGTACACAAAAAGAGCCAAAAGAGCTCCGTTAGAAATCATAGGCTCGCTTTATCACTTACTCTTTGGACTAATGGACAGTGATGATAGAGAAATAATGGAGCTAAATATGAAAAACTTATTTGAAAACTAAAATGACATTGAAAGCATGATTAGAAAGCAAACCTCACTAATCGATGGTACACTCAACGTACTCAGAAAAACTACAACAGATGTCAATAATCAATTTACTAAAATTGACAATCAAATAAACAGCATCCAAAATTTAACGGCGAATTACTTCAACAGCTATAGATTCTCCACATCATTTCAGTTAATCACCATGCAATTACAATCGATATTAAAGGAGTGTGAAAACACACAGACAGCAATAATAAATATGCTCATTGATGTTAATCACCAGCGAATAAATCCATCCTTAATCAAACCTTCTCAGCTAGTTAAAGAAATTCAAAAGATAAAGTTCAAACTGCCATCAAAATTGAAATTACCCGCAGAGTCCTGCACTGAATTAGTAAAACACAACTTTGAGCTGCTTGCGAGAAACTAAGTGTGAAGCAAGCGAAATAATTACGGAGAGCAAGCAAGTGTGATTGCCGCTCACTTATCGTTATGAAGAAGAGAGCGCCGGCTTGTGAGCTAGTTAGCTTGTGTTGAGCAAGTATTCACAAGTTTTTAGCTTATGAGCTCTCCAATTCATATTGCTCACTGGCTTCGTTTCGCTTAAATTATGAATCTGAAGGCTTGTGAATAAACGCAAGAGCTCATGAGCACGCAAGCCACTTAAGCCATTTGAGCAGTTGCGCTGTGAAGCAAACGCTAGAAAAGGATGTTTTATGGAAATTAAGTGCAAGGAACTTTTTTTAGAAAATAAGAGTTTAAAAATGTCTTGATTATAAAGCCATAGGTATAAATCTGACTGATTTTTAATACAAGTGAATTATGCTTATCAAATTTAAACTCTTTGACCTAAGTGGATACCACGAATATAAAATCAGGTACTACTTGTTCGTATCGTAGTTTTTCTGCTAATTATGTATGTATGTATTAATGTATTTAGGATGGTTTTACTTTCTTATTTTGTAATTATAGTTTCTATGTTTCAACTTAAATTGTGGCGGGAGTGACAAATTGAGCATCGGTATAAAAAGTAATCGTAATTTATTTACTATTCTATTAACAAATATTTTTAACTAAAGCTTATAGCCATATTCATAAAAAATAAAGTAGCTTTAAAAAAGGCTTGTAAATTGAAAAATGTATGAAAACGTCAATTTATAAAGCTTTTTAAACCATGTTAAAAAGAAGGTAGTTTCAGTAAACAACTTTTTGATGGATACTGGGGTTTTTGAAGCTTCATAATTTATTCATGTTGCAAATTTGTTTAAAAATAAATTAGAGAATTTGGAGATGGGGATTTTCTCCATAGTTAATAAGTGTAAATATTTTAGTCTTCTTAGACGAAACCAAACAAGTCTAGAACATTATATACATACGTATTGAAAATATGTACATAAAAAGAATGCAATTTAAGTCCGAAATACAATGGATAATGGCATATTACTTACGTTTATGGTATTCCCCACCCCAACCCCAAACTGGAAAGTAATCTATATGTATGTATGTTGCGTTAACATTATTAAAAGATTTTATTTAATAAATAATAAATAAGAAATAATAAAACTCAAGGTTAGTTAATTTTTTTGGAATGAAATTAATGTAATTAAAAACTTCACGTAAAATACATTGGGAATTTCTAGAAATAAAAGTAGTTAAATTTTTGGGAAAATATTAAAAAAAAACTTGTATATAAACGTCACTTTTTAAATAATTCACACTTTGTTTCAGGAATATGGTCATGTAATATCTTATTATATTTTATAAAACTAGGTTTCAGTCTTTTGTAATGGCTAACAAGTATAATTAATTAAAACAAAATCACATGTCAGTTCAATGATATAAAAAATAACACACTTCATTCATTTTGGGAAAAAAAATAAAAATGTTCTAACATAAAAACTATTATTAAAAAAACAGTTCAATTTTATAAACCATGAAACGAATAATCCTCCAGAGAAATAAAAAGCTTGATTGCAAAAACTATTAAAAATTTAAACGTTAAAATAAATTATTTTTACAGTTCAGTTAAATTAATATTATTGTCGATATTTGGATCATGAAAAAGTTATCCTACAAAAAATTTAAGTTAATTGAGCTATTTTTTATCCTTTCGTAGATTTATATTTTCTTTTAGCTTAAATCATCTGATTATGATGAATGGGTAGGAATTTAAAGAAAAATGGGCTGAGTGAAAACTATTTGGGGTAAACGTTATCAAAGGGTATCAGGGCTTCTAATAGTGAATTTCCGGGAAGCATGGAAATGAAATTAATAACAAAAAATAAGTTCAGTTTAAAAATGTCTAGAGGAAAATCAATTTGTCGTTCCAATGCACAGTAGGAACTTTTTATTAGTTAGTTTTAAGTATTGAATTCAGGAATATTATATTATCTACGGTTTTAGGAGCAAGTCGATTTCTTTTGTCAGTTATCAAATTACCGGCCAAGGAAAATACACGCTCAGACGCCGCACTACTTGCAGGTATAGATAATATTTTAAGTGCAAATTTTGACAACCGTGGAAAGATAGCGTTATGCTGATTCCACCATTGAATTGCTTCAAAGTCATTATTAATTTGTATTCGTTCGTTATAATATCTGTCTATCTCTTCTCCGACACTATCCGGCGCGCCCACGTTTGAAATATTTGGAAAACAGAAATGCAGATCGCTTAGAGTTGTTAAAGAATTTTGAAAATTAGTGTGGGGGAGCATTGAAGATGACATTACAATTGATGGTGAAGTAAGAGGTGTCGAATTTACGACTGATACAGTTGGAGCTACATCCCCTTTCTTCGGACGCGTAGAGTTGTGTATTTCTTGATATCTGTTCGATGCAGAAATGCTTCGCAGCATCAAAATCAAAGTCTACCATATTTTTTGCTGGAGGATATAAAAATAGTGCCACTTGGTGGT